TGCTTTGGCGTTTTCCTGCTGGTAATAAAATCAGCAGAAACCTGTTGAGCTTTAGGAGCCAACAGAGGCAGAACTGGTTGCTGTCCGGAGACCTCTTGTCTCAAGTTGCTGTGTGGAAAGCAGAAGTACATATGCACATGCAGTTTTAAGCTGTATCACATGTGATGTAATCTTTAATGGTTAGTTTCTGCTAGTTCAAAAGGAAAACTAGTTGCATCTGGATAGTTGAACCATTTCATTAAAAACAGCTTTCCAAAGGGCAGCTAACTCCAGCATGCCTAAGAAGCTGCTGTCTGCAGAGCAGGCTGCTTGTGCAGGGAGGAAGGGGATGGCTTAGGGTTAGTGACTGGTGCTGGAGCTTTGCCAGAAGGTAAATTGCTGTAGAACTTTCTGTTCAGGTTAGGTTCTGTCTTGAGCTTAATGTAAGACTTCGTGGGGAAGGGGACAGAAGAGCTAAAGCATTAACTCGGCCATAATTTCTATATGTAGAGTGCTCTGAGTGTTATTTTTATTGTGTTCTGTTGCAGCTGAAAGTAAAAGTTTCCACAGAAGTTGGGATTACTAATGTGGATCTTTCTACTGTGGATAAAGATCAGAGCATTGCCCCAAAAACAACCAGGTAAAAATGACTCAGTGTATGTGACCCTTTAAAGGCAACTCTGGCCGTAGACTGGAGCCTTGGTTTCTCTAAGTGCCAGGCCTTGTCTTGGAAGATCACCTCAGTTGTTTTTGGTTTTTATCTCCTAGGGTAGCTTACCCGGCCAAAGCCAAGGGCTCGTTCACTGCTGACAGCCATCAGAATTTTGCTTTATCCTTCCAGCTGATAGATGTGAACAGTGGAGCTGAACTCATCCCTCACCAGGTTAGGACAAATTTTTTTCTTTGCTGTGTCACCAGGATGTTCCATCTTGAAGCATCTGAAGTGACATGTGCTCTTGAAAAGATTTGATAGGTTTTGAGAAGCCTTATGTTTCTGACATGGGCTGAGGAAGGTCACTGATCTCGGTGGCAGTTCATTTGTTTCAGCTGACTGTTAAATGAAACCTCTTCTGCCTCTGGGACTGGGTTGTGTCTAACTCCACAGACTGCAGGCAGTCTGCACTGTCAAGGCACACTTCTGACTTCTTAATATAGATTGTTGGCTGCAAAAGTCCTTGAACATGACAATCTTCCTTTCAGACCTTTGTCAGACTTCACAACCAGAAGACTGGCCAGGAGGTGGTGTTTGTTGCAGAACCAGACAGCAAGAATGTCTACAAATTTGAACTGGATACCTCTGAAAGAAAGACTGAATTTGACTCTGCCTCTGGTACCTACACTCTTTACTTGATCATTGGAGATGCCACTCTGGAAAATCCAATCCTGTGGAATGTGGTATGTAGCTGGAAGTGGGATGATGTGGGTTTGGGATTACTGACAGTCTGACAGGAGGACGTGGTACAGACCTGGAAGAAAAGAGCTCCAATGTTTTGTTCTTTGTAGTGAGCCAGAATCCTTTGGGCCAGTTACGAGCTCTGGGGTTTGCTGTTTGTTGTAAGTTTTGAAGTAAACATCAAAGCAAGACAGAAATGAACTTTGATTTCATCATGTGGTAGAGCAGAAACTTCAGAACATTTATGGGTTTGATTGTAATTTCACAGCAAGCTCACAAGGTTTAACCTTTTGTTCTTTCTGTGCTGGAAATAAGTCCACCCAAGTGATGGAGGTGAATGGTATTACTGCATCTGTTTAGAAGTTGCTTCTTAAAATATTCTAGTGGCTTTTTCTTAGCTTCATGTAAAAATCATGTCAGTCATAGACTGGCAAATAAGGAAATAAGGCACAGTAATGGAATAGGTTTCATTAATACAGTAAGATCAAACTTCATGAAGCTGCATGATTTCATTTCAGGCTGATGTTGTGATCACATTCCCAGAAGAGGATGCACCATCCACAGTCCAGTCCAAGAACCTTTTTGTTCCCAAGCCTGAAATTCAGGTACAGTCAAAATTGTGTGGAGATAGGGAGCTAGTCCTACTGGTGTTATTTGTTCTCATCGTAGTTAATTTGTAAGTAATGTAATTAAAGGAGGATCAGAGCTGCTGCTTAGTGGAAAGCAATTTGTTGCAGTCCTGTGGAGTATGAATAAATAAGCTTTGTGTCCTTTGAGAGAGCAACCAGTGTCACTGAGGAGATTCAAACATGAAAATTTGACTGAGTAAGCACCACAGAAAGGTCTCTGCTGCTTTCCAGCCATCTGTGCTGGTGTCAAGCTAGCAAGTGCTTCTGTGAGTGCAAGAGAAAGTTAACTGTGCAAGAGCTAAATGTGCAGAGACTGGAATAGACACTAAAGTGTCAGTCTTTGCCTTAAGAGGAATGGTTCTAATCCAGAGGAACATCTGGAAACAGCACCAGGGCTGCAGCTGGTCCTCTGGGGAGCCAAGAAGCTGCTCTGTTGGAATACTCCTGCTCATGAGTTGGTTTTGTTTGCAGCACCTCTTCAGAGAACCTGAGAAAAGGCCTCCCACGGTGGTCTCTAACACCTTCACAGCATTGATTCTCTCCCCTCTGCTTTTGCTGCTCATCCTGGTGAGTGAACTGGGCCACAGAAGGACAACACTTTTCCCATCCAGTCCAGAGTCACTTAGGAGGTTGCACAGATCAACTTCTTCCTAAAACCCATGGTTAACCCTGACTGGCACAGCAGTGCTGGAGTCGTGACTAGCAAATGTCAGTGCAGAGCGTTGGTCTGGTTTGGGGTTTATGAGTTTATAGTGAAAACAGAAAAACACTGCTGCCAAGTGAAGTCGGTGGATGAGTTCCTCCAGTGTGCTTCTGCTGGGGATGGTGAGTAACAGTGGGCAGATTAAGTTACACTAATATTAGACTTCCACAGGAAAAAATGCAGTGATTCTGCCTCACACATAATAAATCCATCATGAAATCTGTGTTACTTAATCCTGTCAGATTGATTCCCATTTATGGGCATAGTATTTGAGTGTCTGTAGTTGAAACATCCACTGCTGCTCACAGTATCATCAGGTCAGTGTTTTGAACTTCATGCAATACAAAAGCTCATTGAGGCAAGGTGAATTATTCCTTATTTGGAAGATGAACCCGATTCCAAGAGTAATTCCCCATTAGGTAGTCTCACTGAAAGCTGGCAAGCAGGTGGTTGTATCTACTGGTCTCTGGAATCCACAATATGCATGTTGATGGCACTTTAATGAAAAACCTCATTACTGCTGCTCCTCTTCCCCATCCTTCATGCCTTTGTGTTTTGTACTCTGATGTCTGAAATTGTTATGAGCAAACATTTTGTATCTATGGCTGTTCTTTGGCTGAGTCCAAAACAAGAATCTTACCTTTTTTTTGGTCTTTTTAATTAAGATTAATTCAGCTGGATAGAAATGGAAGTTGCTTTTTTTTTGACAATAGATTTGGAGCAGTACTCCAAGTACTCTCATCAGTTGAAGATGTTTGAGGAGCTGCATTAGGGCAGTCAGAAGCAGCAGGAGAAATTTTCATTGAAGGAGCACAACAGTGCTGCCTTTAGCAAAATTCCTACTCTCTCCTCTCACAGTAGTAAACAAATGCTTCTGTAGAGAATACACTATTTATTGGAGATCTCAAAGGCTTAAAAGATACTGAAGTTTAAAATGCTGTTGTAACTCATGTTTTGTTCTTTTCCTCTTAGTGGTTCAAGATAGGTGCCAACATCTCCAACTTCAGCTTTGCTCCCAGCACCATTGTTTTTCACATGGGACATGCTGGTAAGTGTCAGAGGCTTTCTGCTTTGTTTGACCTCCTCACCTGGAGTTACAGATGAGAGCCTGTGGTTAATGGGCTTGTGGTCTATTAACTATAATGACATAACAGCATAACATTTGTTCTCTTGTTTCCATCTGTCTTCCTGCTCTTCATGATTGTTAATATGGTGATAAACCTGTTTTGGCCATCAGTTTATAACAGCTGTCATTATCCAGGCCCCTCTCTCACACCATTTATCTGTGCTTAAGAGAACTTCTTATTTCCAGAGGTCACACTTTCTTTATTGCATGTTTATCCTCTGAGAGCAGGGAGGTTCTGTGGGGATTGAAACCTGCAGGACTCAGTTAAGAGTAAAAGGCTACAGATTTCTGTAAAACTCTTTCCATGAAAGCACTTCTGGTTCTTTGGCTGGACCAAGTTTTTTCATCAATTTTATTGTGCCCTTGGTCACACAGTTATTTACTGTCTTGGTAGAATTTCAAAAACATAGCAGCCTGGGAGAACATTGGATCTGCTGATTCCCAAATGTCAGTGTGTTGCTCAGTCCAAGGCAGTTTCTCTGGAGGCTTTACAAAGCTGTAAACCCCTACAGACGTGTGAAGGTTACTATCCCCTATTGAAATCCAGAGTATCCTCCTCTTTTTAATAGCCCTTAATGTCTATAATATGTCCATAATTGCCACAGGAGGGTTGGTTGCAAGCTGTCAATGTCACATTCTTTTTCCAGTATGGAGGCCCAGACACCTTCATTCCTTGGCAATAATAATGCTCTTTAGGTCTGTCATTCAGAGCTGCTGAGATGGGATAGAAACCAAATGCTTAGGCCTGACAGTGCAATTGTTCTGAGGATAAAGAACAGTCTTTGAAATGCACTTTCAGCCATGGGAACTCTATTTTTTTTTTCACAGCAATGTTGGGACTCATGTATGTCTACTGGACTCAGCTCAATATGTTCCAGACTCTGAAGTACTTGGCCATTTTGGGTGGTGTCACATTCCTGGCAGGCAACAGGATGCTGGCTCAGAAAGCTGTGAAACGGTGAGTGTTGGTGGGAGCTGCCTTTGACATCAGCAGGAGGAGATCACAGTGGTGCTGTCGTGTGTCAGTGACCCATAGGTGCTGCTCTGGGCTCTTGGACCTTGTGTGTGGGGCTGGGCTGCTGAAGCAACCAGCACACAGGGAAAACACAGGGTGGAAGTATCTGCACTTTGACATGGGGAAACCCACATTTGGCAAGATGCCTTCACTGACAAGTTTGGTTTACTATGTAGTACATCAAGCTCTTAGAATATTGTAGATAATGAAAGCCATTATAAATGCAGGAGAAACCCAACTCTTGTGGAGCTGTTCTTGTCATTAAAGTTTTAAGGGGAGGAGGATAAGACAAGGGTTATTTCACTGCTGTGTTCCTCTGCCTGAAGGGGGATTGTAGAGAAAGGGGTAGCATGTGCTTTTCAGACAAGTACAGCAAGCAACAATGGGTAACACACACAAGCAAACCCAGGGAAAATTCTGCTGGATTTTAGGGATACAGCCTTCACTTCTGTACTGCCATTGAACTGGTTCTGCACACTTGTGTCTTCTGCCATGCAGTGTCTCCTGACTGCCATGGCCCAGGCAGACAGTTTGCTGACCCAGTGCAGTGCATTGATTAGAGGTCAAACCATTCCCTCTCCTTCACTTCTGCCACACAGTTTCCATGTGAGACTTAAGCTTTAGCCCTTTTGTAGTACTGCAGCGTTTGGCTTTGAAGATGATCTTACTGACCTGCTTTGCCATCAGACCTGTGCTTTTCTTACCTGTGCTTCCCTTTCTGAGCCACTGGGAGTTTTAGCCCTGCATACCTATTTGCATGGATATCCCTGAGTTCTCACTGATTTGATTACACTCTATTAAAACCAGGATGAGAGCAGTAAAAAAAAAAAAAGAATATAATTTTCAGGGGGTTTGCATTGATTTGTTGTCTTTAAAACATATCAACTTGTATGGCTACTGCAGGGAGGATGATTACTGTTATTAACCCTTTCCATTCCATCCTCCCAGCTTTCTTTGCCTTGTTTCCTTGGATGTCCAGCCCTCTCCACTGTGGTGGCACTTTTATCTTGTTAGCATAACAGTTCCTACAGGGATTTTGTTGCCAGCAGGGCTATGTTATGTCATTCAGTAATGTTTCCTTTTTTATTTAAAGAGGAATGATAAAATCATTAAGTGCAGATTGCCTAGGATACAGATTTGGGGAAAAATAATACAATGAAGCTAATTTCTAAGTCTCTTTGCTCAACCAGGGCTTCTGTTAGCACATAAGTGCAGGTGGTTGGTTCTTGCTTCAAACCACTGCAGGAGGTGTCCATGTGCTTTTTTGCTGTAAATGACATGAAGCCACGACTACAATGGCAGATTTGAAAGTAAAACTTGTACCTGAGGCTAAAGTTAAACCCTTTGTACATGACTTTAAAGCTCAAAAAGACATCTTGTTAAGGTGCTGCCTGCCTGTCTCAATGCTGAAGTGCAGTGACGATTAACTAGACTGCACTCTGAGGCAAAGCTGTGGAGGCTGCTGGTGGGTGTGGGAAGGGAAAGGGGCTGTGTAAACCATCTTGTTACAGAAGCTACCAGAAGGCCTGGGTTTACTTTTTGCATTTCTGACACTGGCTCTGGTTCCTGGAGCAGGGCTGCTTTCCTCCTTCCTGTCTTCTCTGAACCTTTCTCCCTCTCTCCTTTTGGCAGGATCGCTGCAGAGCAGAGCAGTAGGTTGGCAAAGTATAGAACACTGCGGTAAAAGGGGGTTTGCTAGTGACCAGCTCTCCAGGAAGTAAGGGCCTTTTTGGATTTTGCCTTTCCTGGGCATGCTGCCTGTTCCATTTCACTTCATCGCTCCTTGTACAAAAAGATATGTAAACTGAAGCTGCTTTCTCCCAACATTGCTTGTCAGGCTTTAAATCAGTCCTTGTGTGTCCCTGGCTGCAGCTGGGTTTGCATATTAGCTGTACATGTCCTCTGAGACTAAATTGCATTTGTGTGATTTCCTTAATTGTCTGAAGCCTGTATGGTGATGTGTGCACACGTAATTGTGCTGTCCTGGGCACCAAGCAGCTCTCAGGTGATGAAACAAACCATTTGTTCCCGTAAATAAATTATTAGGAATGTTGGCTGGAGGAGAACGTGATGAAAATGGCTGATGCTGGGGCTGTTCCCATCCTGCTGCTGCTGCTCCCTATCCCCATCTGCAGCGTTCTGGTTTTTCAGCTGCCAGGTACTCTGCCTGCTGTACTGCATCCTCCTTTGGAGTGCTGAGAGCTCTGTGCAGCAGAACCAGGTCAGCACCACCTCATTCAGCTGAGAACACAACTCAGTCCCGGGTTCACCTTCCCATGAGGCTGAACTGGTCATGATGGCTCAGGCAGCAGCAGCAGCTCCCAGCCCCCTCCATTCCATACGGTCACCTCTGACAGGTCTCCATTATTTACCAGCACAAAGCCCTTCACTTCCTTTCATTCCAAGAGGTAAGGTCCCAGTTTGCTCTATGCACTGTGGTGCAGAGGGCAGGACTGCCTGGTGCTCTGCATGCTGCTCTGTTCTGAGTGTGCCTGTGGGGCTTCATTCCTTGTTCAGTGCACTGGTTTGTTGTGGGGAAGGGGGAGAGTATTGGGGATGGGACCTGTGATGAGACAAGTCACTGTACAACCTGCTGCATGGGTACATTTCCTGAGTGCTGGCTTTCTCTCATGTCACTGCTCCAGGCACACACACAGAGTGCCTTGGATGATGCTCAGGGTTTGTGGTGCAAGATAAAACCAGCCTGGGAGGCTGAGCCACAGAAATGGTGTGCACTGTGGTGAGAGCTCCTGTCTGCAGGTCAGGTTGTGTGGAGGATGGTTTGATGAAAATTACCTTGTGGAGAATTTGGTGTCATGTCCCTTAGAAAAACACCTGTTACTGTCTCTTCTCTCCCTGGAGTGTTTTCAGGTATTTGAGCACGGAACAAGCTATGACAGGTAGCTGGAGAGGAACTGGAGATGGCTGTCACTTGTTCTAGTAGATGACTGCTGGCTGCATCCTGACTCTGTTTACTGGTGCTGTTCAGGTCCCTGGATGCTTCTTTTTGACATCACTTTGGGCCAGTGGTTTTCAGCTTTTTAGTGGCCTGTTCCCACATGCCTCAGGAGTGTGTTCTCCACAGCTTCGATGTTTTCTGTGTCAGCCTTGTAACTCCTTCATTCCCCATGGACTGTGAGCAGTCCTGGAAGATCTTGAAAATAACTTACTGCAAACCTTAAGTTAGGTTTTGCTGCCATGTGCAGTCACCAGTATTTTCCTGATTGCTGAGTTTTCTGATGCCCCAGTTATGTCAGTTAAGGCTGTTGTTGGACTGTCAGGTGCTCAGCATCCATAGCTGTGCCTGTGTGTGGCATCTTGGAAGGCAGAAGGGCCCCAAAGAGATGTGTCTGCTGTGCCTACATTAGCGTGCTTCACCTTGGGGACATAGACCAACTGATTCCCAGCAGACAAACTGGCCCTGTGTAAAGCAGAAGAGCAGTTAAGGTACTGCAGGCTTTGCACTCAGCCTGGTGATTTTTTGTTCATTTCTGTGATTTAAAGGGCTCATTCATCCCCCCCAGAAATTAACCTTCACTTTCACCATTTCCATTCTCCTTGAATTCCATCCCCCGTTCCATTGCAGTGCTGGTTTTATCACTCAGACAAGCTTCCTCAGAGAGAGAATGAGGGGTCTGGTGACACTTTTGCTGTGCAGGGAAGTGCTCTGTTGCCTGGAAGAGTTAATTTTTTGATTTTGCTTTCCAGGACACACTAGTACCAGAAGAATGGAAGAAATGTGGGAAAACAAAGCAAATGCCTTCAGCACGGAAGTGAATAAATAACTGAAAGCCCAGAAGAAGGAAGGCAGAAGCAGATTTTTTTTATATATATATTAATTCAAAAGGGTGCCAGTTCTACTTTTTTTAAAACCTTGATTTTCATCATTGTGTTCATGCTACTTGAGTGCTTTTCATATGAATCTGGAAAATCCTTTCTTCCCTGGATCCTTCCCCTTCTCCCAGGACGTTTGAATTTCCTTTCGAGAAAGAGGAAAAAGAATACACAATTCTGCCTTTCCCCAGAAGCTCTTTCCTCATCCTAAAGATCTGTGAATAAAGAGGAAAGAATGGTCCTGACTGTTGTGTTTTGGCTGTCTCGGAGGCAGTGATTGGAGGCTGAGCTCACATGAGAATGAAAAGAGCTTTTTCTGGTGGGTAATTTTGTGTGTGACTCATTACTGTGTGTGAAGCTTCCTGTTCTTTCATGTCCTTTCCCAGAGGGACATGGTTGTTGGGGGGAACTTCCCACTCCTGCCTGTCCCTTATGTGAGGCTGTTGGCTGCATTTCTCTGCTAATGGCTGTTCTTTCCCACTCCAGGCTCTGCTGAGCTGCTCTGGACCCTTGGGATCAGGCAGGAGGAGCCCTTGAGGAGCCAGCAGGTTTGGGGGTCCCTTGAGGGGTTCACTTCCCAGCCTCTGGAACTAGCCATTTCACTCCATATCTGAGTTTGATGGAGGTTATTTCCTCTGTTCTTGTATAAAACCAAATGCCAGGAGTCTGCTGAACTGCCTTTCAGTTACTGGAGCTCTAACTGCCCCAGTAGTGACTACCAAGCAGTGTTGAGGCAGCAAACTTGAGCTTTATGGAAGAACACACTGATAGGAATAACCAAAAGCCAAAATCTCCTCCTGATGACCAACTTCCACATGGGAAACTTAGCAGTTACTCCTTCCCCTGCATCCATGTGTTGGCTCCTGTTCATCCTGTGTCAGACTAGTTTCTTGAAAGGCCTTTTGGCAAAGGAATTTATCAAATCTGCTTTTGAAATCCAGGAAAATGATATCAGCAAGCAAGCATGTGGCTAAAGGGTGTGGAGCCAAACGCTGCAGAGCACTTCACATGTGTGAGACATGACTCCACTTTATAAAATCCACCTCATCTCTTCCCCACTGCAGTTGCTCACACTTAGCTCACTGTTCCTGCTCTCTGTAGCAGTTCCTACCTGTTTGTTCAGTGTGGACCCACAGAGGTTTAATGAATTTCTTTGACCTCCCCTGCCCTGCTTCAAACATGAGATCTCAGGCTGCAGTCAAGGCCTCTGGGACTAAAGGAGTTTTAGGCAAGAAATAGCTAAGCCACTGTTTGTAGTAATTTACCCTGGAATTCCTTTTCACCTTGGTGAGTTTTTTGAGCCTCATGTTTTGTTACTGCTCACTTAGCAGCTTTGGTTTATAACCAGTTCTTTCTGCTGAAGCTTCATGCTAGGACAGAAATTTCCCTCTGCCTGCAGAGCTCTGGCACATTATCCATGGAGAGCACAGATGCAAAAGGAAAACTAAGGAGTGCTGTATCTTCTCTAAGCTGTGTGTGTGCTATTGATTTTCTACTTCCTTGGTTAAGCATTAGAAAAGGTGGTTTTTATTATTTGCCCTTTTATTCCTCAGACATTTTCTGGTTTGCTTTATTTTGGATTTATATTTAATCTCCCAGAGTTTGAGCATTTGTTTCCTCACTTTGGTGCAAACTGTACTTTCAGAGGAGTCCCTTTTATTCCAATAAGCTGCACTTACCCAACTGTCTGATCACAGACTTAATCACACAAACACTTTCCAAAGTGTTTTTGATAGGTCTCTGGACTTCATTGGGAGCATCCAGTCCAGTGTTTGCATATGGCTTTTGTGCCACTTAACGGATTGAAATGGGTTTTGCTACCATGTTTACTTACTACTTTAGGAAGCTGCTTTGTTTTTTATAATCCCTTTCCTTGGACCAAATGAGTCCTGATGGCTTCAAGTGTGTTAGTTGTTAAAGAACAGGTTTACAAACACATTTTGAACCAGGTTGCTCCAGTGATTTTTCTTTCGTGTGTCTCTGTCCTGTGAAGCAGAAGTTTGGTTTATGTCTGACAGCTGCTGCCTGCAGCAGGATAACAGTCAGCCATTAGTGCACTTGCTGCTGTCACAGCTTCAGTGATCTCCCTCAGCATCCCCTCAGTGCTTCCCATCCTGCTGGGCAGTTTGTAATACTTTCTACTGCTGCAATTGTAAACCTGAAGAGGGAGGATGTAACAGATGTAAGGGATTTGGTGGAAGTATGAACATGCATACTGGAGCCTGCTGTCCTAAAATGTGGTCACCTGAGGAAAAATGAGCTGGTACCTACTGCAGACTATCAAGGAAATGTTTGGATGCAAGGAGCAGTGGTTTCAGAGGCCTTAATATATGTTTGCATGTCACTGTATTTCCAACCTGGTGTTATTACTGGTCCTGGAGCTGGTGCCTTTGTTAGCACAGCTCAGAGTCATCCTCAGTGCACTCAACCTCTGTCTTGGAGAAACATCTCCCATTCTGGGTCCAGAATCGAGAAACTAATGTATGTGTCAACAAAGGAACCATCTTGACCTGCTGTTGGACAGGTTTATTTAGAACAACTTTTATTTCCTGCTACTGATGGGAAAGAAGACCCATCCTGATGTTATTTACATTTCTGAAGACATAATTATTACACAAACAATAGGAGAACTGGGGTGACAGGGAGGAAGTAGCTGTATGGGATCACTGGGTTAATAACTTACTCCTTTGAAAACATTTACAGTTGTAACTAGTCACAGTGGAGTTCAGAGCCTCAGGATGGTACTCAACAGGATGTTGAATTAAAACATAGTGACAGCCCAATCTGATGCACAGGGATCTCCTTTAACTCTTGCAGAGCTGTAGCTTCAGTTGGAACACCTCAAGGCTGAGCAGTAACTGCAGCTGTGCTTTCTAGAGTTCAGTTTTGCTGCCAGGGCTCTATGTCAGGGAGAGAGGCAGCAGCAGCCCACAGCAGTGTTTCCAGTGGGTGGGAGGCATGTGGATTCTTGTCTCACCTCACCCTGATCCAAGCTGTGTGTGTGGTTGTGCCATCAGCATCTATTTAGAGGAGGCTGTAATCCATTTAACTGAGTTGCCTAAAGGTGCCTTTCGGTGGCCTCATGTTTATTAATCAGGCCCTCAAAGAGAATGATGACTTGGCAGAAATTTTGCTACACTTGGTGATTTGAAAGCCTTAATTAGTAGAGAGAATGTCCCTAGGATTACAAGTGTACTGGTTGTTTTAGTCTCTGTGTGTAAAGCTGCCTGAGGTTAAACCACAGAGGTGGGTTTTTTCTGATTCAGTACACAGAGAAGTATTTAGAGAGGGGAGTTAAATTGTAAAGACTGAAGGACATTCAGTAGTGCATCAGCATTGCATTCCTTTGGTCAGATCTGAGGAGTGTGTGCATCAGTTTCCAGCTGCTCACATCCAGGAATGTTTTCACTGCTGTGGAGGGCTCACTGTACAGTTAGGTCCACGAGCTCTGAATTATTCTAGACAGAAGCAGGAGGAAGAGAGAATTACCACAAAATTTTGAGAACACACAGGACTTTTTTCATCCTTTGGAGGCTTTTCCTGTGTGACCTTTTCTGTGGAAAGGTAACCAAGTCAAGCATGGCAAGAGAGCTGCTGGAATGCCATGTTCTGCCAGCTGAATCCATAGCCGTGATTCATGTGAAGTTCTGATTTCCCCCCTCTCCAGCCCCTCTTTTGTTTAGCGTGTACACAGGTCTCTCCACACCCCTTTATATTGTGCTGGCAGCACTGAACAGGCTTCATTTCTGTGGGACAAGGGAGTAAGATGAGGTTGCTTCACACAGGACAACTGATGTTTGTCCAAGTGAAGGTATTCCTTAGGAGGAGCTGTTTGCTGGCTCTCAGTCCCACAGGGCTGGCAAGGGTTAGAGTTCCAGGTGACTGCTTTCAGGAGTGAGTGAAAACAGAAAACAGAATTCTGCTATTCAGTGCAGGGAAAACCTGAATGTCCAGGGATCTAGAGGCAGGTTCTGCTCCTCGGGGAAGATTTTTGTCTGCCCTTAGCCTGGCTGAGACACTTGGGCACACTGTCTCAGACAGCTTTACAAGTCTGCTTTAGGTTGCTGCAAGCCTCTTCCCAGACATCCACATGCAGCTTCACAGCACTGTGGTCTGGCTGTTCAGACTAACAGGACTTCAGGTACTTGACAAAATTGATTGGGAGGTTTTTCCCCCTTAAACTTTGCAGCAAGCACCTTCTCTCATGGATAGCAGTGGGAGCTGGCACTGCTGCAGGAGAGCCTTCAAACTTTGAGCAGTGCGTTATGTACAGGACTGAGCAGGGAATGGTACTCACCAGAGCCTGGGGAGATGGAAAAGGGAGAAGTATTTACATGAGCTTAGCCAGGGTGCTGGGAAAGCCTAACTGACTTCTGTCAATGTCCTGAGGCCTGTCAAGGAAGAAGACAGTGAGGGCGTAAGTGGGATTGAGAGAGAAATTATTTTTTCCACTGCTATTTTACTGAATTATGAGGTTGAGGAGACAGCAGTGACGTGCTGTGGGCTGGCTCAGGATAGGTTGTTCCCTATCTGCTCCCTGCTTGGGGTCAGGTAAGAGCTTTATTCTTTCCCTGATTGTACCTGAAAGGTGATACTGAATCCAGTAGCTTCACATCTGGAAGCCAGACTGCAGTAGGGACCTTGTCATATTCCTGCAGTGAGCAGAGAATGAACTGATTCCCACCTACCTCTGGTTCTGCAGGATGGCTCCCAGGAAGTCCCTCAGGACCATCTGTTGGTGGTAGCTGTCCATCAGGATGCTGTCAGACTGGCGCCGCGTCAGGAATTGGTGCACCCCTTCTCCTGGGCTGCTCTCACTGCTTCTGTTAGGTGAAGATGAGAAACATTTTGTTTCAGAGATAGTTTTTAGTCCCTTGCTCAAGGTTTGGCTCGGGCTGAGCAGCACAGCAAGAGAACCTGCTGGGTCTGAGCCCAGGGCCATCCTGCTTAATTTCGATAAGAAGCAAACACAGTGACCAATTCCTGTGCTAAAAGAGGGGCTGGAGCTGGCTCACATCTGACCAGTAGGTCTTATTTATTGGCAGTCAATGATGTGTCTGATCAAAGGTAGTGGAGAGGCTGCTTGCTGTGTTCAAACCAGGCAGGGACAACTGTTTCCTACCTGTGAATGATCATTGCAACTGTTATTTGCAAATATTATTGCTTGTTGATGTCACAGTAGAACTCTCAGCTGATCTGATGCTTACAGCCTTGGAGGAAAGGATTAATTATGCTGTTTAATGATAGCTGTGATTAGGAGAATCCAAGACACAGGGATGCAGGATGCCCTTTGGGATATGGAGCAGCAGGAGAGATTGCTTCTGTTGCAGTGGAAGGCACGTATTCCTGCTACATGCATGAAAGAAACTGCCCAGTGTAACAAGCAAAACATTATCCCTAGGACAGGAGAGCACTGGGCTTACCCAAGCCGCTTCCCAATGATGGTCTGTAGGAATTTGCGAGCGGAAATCTGCCCCAGGAATTTCCGGTAGTTGTCGGTGAATATGGCATCAGCATGGCGCTGCATCCTAGGGTGAAACACAAGCACAGTGTGCCCTCTCAGCGAGCAGTGAGCCCTCCAGGTGAAAAATAAAACACACCTGGTGCAACAGTCCTGATACCAGAGGTAAGTAACCACAGCAAACACCGTTTGGTATTGCACTGTGTTAGTGGTAAAGGGATTTGAGGGAGCTCAGCACCGTTTGGTATTGCACTGTGTTAGTGTTAGTGCCTCCTGACATGGAGGCAGCAGGCAAAATAAAATGTCTCTTAATCAGAGTACACAGTAAAATGAGTAAGGAGAAGTGCCTCCAAACCAAAGGTGAGGTCAGAGAAGCAGTGGAAAGGAAGAGGAGAACCACAGGCTGGGAGAGGACAGAACTGAGATGGGACATTCCTGTGCTCTGTAGCAGCACTGTCAGCTCCTGGGATGGCTGTGTCTGGGACAGGGTGACAGGAGCAGGTCTCTAGCCTGTGGTTAGACCCAGGCTCTGGAAAATCCACAGGTAAGGGAAGCATAAGCCACTTGGCTGCTCCTGCTGTTGTAAGGATGAGTCTGTGCTTCAGACAGAAATAACCACCCTCTGTCTCCAGCCAAGGGTGGAAAGGAGAGGCTATGCAGATGGATTCCCAGAGGTCAGTGGGAAACTCTGCTCCTTGTAGGAGCCCTGGGTCTGTACCCCTGCACCTGTCAGTACCTCCCTGCTGGTGGGGGACAGCAGGATATGGCTCAGGACATGGGTGATGGTGAGAGCCATCATGGTCCCAGCCTTCTGCTCTGGTTGCAGAGCTCGTCTGGGTTCTTCTATCAGAGCCTTGACTTTGTGGTGCCTCTGGGACTAAATGATCTGCTGGGCTGGGGGAAGATCATAACCAGCGCAGTATTGCTGCAGTGGGGCTGAGAGGTGAGACACAAACCTTTTCTCAGTGGGGTCTGTTAAACCCTCCTCCTCTTGTTCCTCTGCTGAGGGGTTATGGCTCTGCAATGGGCTGCTGTGCTGTAGCTGGAAGTTCATGGCCTTGCCAGCAACTGGCCCTGGACTGTACCTACAAGACAAACCCCAGACATACTGTGAAACATGCTCAGCTGCCAGCTCGGGATCAGTCTTCTTGATCGTTTTTCCTTATTCTGCTTTTTCTTTCTCCTTTAGCCATCCTCATCAGTAATGTAAGTATTGTCTGTCACTTTCCCCAGCTAGAAACTGCCCCGAAGCTCTTTCAGCAGTGAAAAGATGGTTGGTAGAGCTGTCTCAAACACACTTCTCCCTCACTGAGCTTCCAGCATCCCTGAGCAAAATTCCAGTGATTCCGGTATCACTGTGCCATGGACTTGGCATAAGCCTAAAGCATTTTCTATGAGACAGTGCAAATCCACTTCATAGAAGCCAATGCTCTATTTTGTGCATCCATCAATTTGTAATGGTAGGAAGAAATGTTACAACTTCTAACAGTCAACAAGGAAATAGCTGAAATATTAACAGGCAGCTGTTGAGTTCATGTACCAGAATATCTGCAGTTCCAACTTCAGTGCAGGTGCCCTGCAGCCACAAATTTTAATCAGTAGTGGAGCTGGAGGTGCTGCCTGCTCTAGAGATTGCCAGATTTCTCTTTATAGAACCCAGCACTCAATTCTAAAACCAACTGCTCAGGCTGAAATATTCTGTCAGGTGCCTCCTTCTTTGGAAACCACCCCTAGGCTAGCAGTGTACCCAAAAACTAAGACAGGCAAAAGAAATAGGCTTAGCAACACATTTAGAGTTCATCTGGCTTTCAGAAGTGCTGGCAACCTTAATTTGGCACGTGCTTATTTTGCACAAGGTCAGAGATGAGACAGGGAGTGACTGTGGATAAAGCACTCAGCACTTACCTGAGAGCTGGGTAAAGAGGAGAGGAGATGGAGCATGAGACTAAGTGCAGGAACAGGAGCAGGGTGGCCTTATCCAGCATCTTCCACCCTTTGGAGTCACCTGAAACACAGAGCAGTCTGAGCCAAGGCTGTGAGGTGCTCTGGGCCAGGAGGGGAGGCCAAGCACCACCTTTGTGTTCGCAGTCCCCTGCTCACTTTTTGGCACAAAGGGACTGGTAATATGCCTCTGATTGTGGTTGTGATGTTTCCCAACATAGAGATTTCTTGATTTGTCAAAGTCTTCTCCAGGGAATGCAATTCCTGGAGGCAGTGGCTCTGTGTGACACCTTGGGGAACTGGTGTCTCCCTTGGGTCAGGAGTCAGGACTGATCAGCAGGGTTTAATGCTGTGGGAGTCCTTATTGACCTGTTCCACTGCTGTTGAAGGAGATGGGCTGAGCCTCAGGGAACACTGCACAGGCTGTAAAAGCACCTGGATGGAGAGCAGCAGTTAGCAGGGGCTGTGAAAGGAACCTCACTGCCTGCACAGGACCATCTGCAACCACCCCCTGGGACCTCTCCTGCCCCTGTGCTCTCCTGGGGATGTGTGTCTCCTCACATGGCTGTACCTGTATGGCACAGGTCTGTGCTTAACAGCTGACTGGGCTGCCTTGCTGACTGTCCAGGGACTGGGGAGAAACAGGGAAATACAAATTATGTTCCTGGGCAGAGAAATGATACTGGCACAGAAGTCATCCTGGCAAAGCCATTCATTGAAGGCAGCAGTGCTGAGCTTCATTAGCCAAACACACACACTGTTCTTTCAGTCATGCTTGGGTAGAGAGGGGTCTGGACGGAAATATGTCCCTTTGGGAAGGCTGAACTGCTGCTGTGTGGAGAGGAGCCCCTGGCCACCCTCCAGGTGCCCACACAGCTCTGAGCACAGGCTTTGGTGAGAGGGACTGAGCTGTGTGTGCCAGCCCTGGCTGCAGTGCTCCGTGTCCTGGAGGCAGCTGAAGAGCTGCGAATGACTCAGGACAGTCGCCTGAGGTCACACACCCTCGGGAACTGAATGCCATGCTTTTGTCCTTGGAAGCCAGGGACAGTGGGAAGGTGTTTCAGTGAATGCTCTTCCTGAGTTTTGCTTGAAAGCCATTGATCTTTTGCTCAAAAAAGGTTCTTAAGGAATGTGGGTAGAAACCTTTAAAATAGCAAGTTTTCCTGTTCCCTGTCTTATTTTACACAAGAGCAGAAAGATGTTTGATCTCCTTAAGAGGGAAAAAAAAACACCTTCTGAAGGTATAACAATACTTTCTTGCAAAAGGAGCAGCTTCCAAATGGAAAGGGTTTGGTTGGACTTCTGATTGCCCAAGAGAACTTTCCAAGCAGTGGGTTTTACTGATGGGGGGACCCTTTCTGATGAAAACAGCAGTGAGCTCTGCTTCACTGCTCAGACAGAGCACATCAACATAGTGAGGGGGAGGCTAATTAAAGGGTCTGATGCAAGTGGGTCTGATCTTGACACTGGAAGTTAATAACAGAATTAGTGGCAATGTCAGAAGTGCAAGGACAGGCATGAGAAAAGGTGCTGCACTAAGAAATGGGGGTTCTTATCACAAATTCATTCTCAGCCCAGTCCCTGTTTCCAGCAACTTGTGCTCCCAGCCAGGGGACCAGCAGCTTCTCCATCAGTTCCCCTGGGAGCTCCTGCAGAGCTTCTTGTGCTCATGGGTGGCATCTCCTACCTCCTGCTCTGTTACAGAATCACTTGGGTCCCTCAGAGAGCCAAGGAATGCTTAAAAGAAGGGGAAAAAGTGTCTCTGAGAGACTTACAGAGCTTCTGCTTTTCAAGCAAATTTCCTGCTTCATTTTTTGTTCCTTTTTTATATGAACTCGTCAAAGCATGTCTCTTCTGTGCCTCTCCCTAAGTATCTTCAAGACAAATCCCAAGTCAGATCTTTCTCGATAGAGGAAATGATCTAAAGCATCTGTCAGGGGTACCAGGAGACTGTGGTACCAGCATCTATAGAAAGTACTAACCAGATTTAATCTGTACCAGGGAAGCTTCTGTGTGAACTGACAAGTTATGTGCCAATGTAAAAGAAAACCTACCCCAATGTTGTGTGCTTCCCTCTCTTCCTCCTAGGATACAGCCCTGATTACCACTTTCTTTCTGCCTCTGGTCTCTTTTCTTTGAATGTTGAGTTTTCCTCCAGAATCACTTTCTGTCCCTTTGAGATTTTTTTCCTTTCTCACTATTAATTTCTTTTCAATTTGTTTTGTTTGTTTCTGGATTTGCAAAATGAAGACATTCCTTGTCTTCATTTGTGTTCTCTCCCTTAACTACAGTCTGCATCTTGTGTATGTCTGTCTCCCTTTTTTCCCTTGGGAATAAATCTGAAATCAAAGTCCTACACCCCTTCCCAGAAGTGTCTGCTATTTTGGAGGAGAAGCTGGAGAACTGAAGTGTCACCCTGTGAACAGGCAGCTTGACAGCTCTGCAAAACATTGTCACCTTGGAAATTCTCCTGAGGTGAGGGACACCTCACTTTCCCTTCTGGCAGCAGGTGAAAAAATGATTAATAAATAAATTCCCCTGAAGATGAAGAGCTTTTAGCACCATTCCAGCAGATGAAGTGTAAGAGCTTCATTCCAAACTGTGCAGGGGGAACAGCAGCATTGTGACAGTGATGTTGGAGAGCTGGTAACTATCTCTGTCTGTTTCTGAAACCTTCACCTGATCAGTCTTAAAAATACCTTTATGTAGATGAAATGAAGCTTTTGCCATGCCTGCTGTTTTATAAATCTGAGGCTTTTATACTCTGAAATGCTACATTTGAAAAGCAGAAATCCTTTTAAGTGCCTCTCTCTGCCTCCTTGTAGTTGGCTTCACATTACCTGTAACACACCTTTGTGTTTCCCTTCACACTTTGGTTTGGCTCAAACACAGTTTCATTACTAGGTGAGCAAAACAGTGTTCATTTGCCAGGGTGAAAGGAACCCACATCAGTATAGCAAGAGAGAAAAACTGTACTACAGGTAGTAAGCATCTAACATGTTTTTACAAAGCTCATCTCTAGTATCATGCTATTGATTTGCATTTATCCTGTACTTCAGTTGTTGTTTCATTCTATAACTTGGTACAAAAGCATCTTGGTACAAGAACTTGGTATGGTACAAAGGCTATTGTACCTGGCAAAGCCAATTCCTGGTGCCAAGTTTGATTGCATTTCAGTCTAATTTAATTGTCTCCAATTTCCAAATGGACATTATCTTGTTAAACACACAGAGAGGCTCCCACTTACCGTTCCTGTAGAAAACAAGTGCTTCCTAGATCAGCTCCTGCCCAGGTGTTCCTTCCCCTGTTGCAAATACAACTTCTCCTCTGGAGCTGCCTCTGGAGCCTGCTGGGTCCGTGCCCTGTGCTGTGCCAGGCAGGACCCAGGACGTGTGTTGAGCAGGGAGGACACTCGGATCTCCCCCCAGCTGTCCTCTGGCTGCCAGGGAAGTGCATCTCCTCTTTTTATACCTGTGCTCCCTCAGGAGTCCTGTGGGTTTCCACGCGTCAGAGTCAATTATCCTCCTGAATTTCAAAGGCTGTGTTCAGCCTCCTCTGGTGTGTGTGCAGGGCACAGGCAGGGAGGTGGCGGGAGGGGGTTATGCCTGTAGTTGAGGGTCATTTGCAATGCTTTCCCTTTATCCCTCGAAGAGTGAAGAGCAAATAAAAACAGCAATAATCTGGCAGAGCGAATGACAA